AGGGTTGCTGTCGCCCTAGCCCAACCCTAGGTCGCCCTCGCCGGCGTCGGGTGAGGGCGGCCTCTGCCCGAGGCCGGCAACCTCTGCCGGCCCCGGCTATGGCTGGCGGAAGGAAGAAGAAGAAGAAGAAGAAGAAGAAGAAGAAGAAGAAGAAGAAGAAGAAAAAAAGGGAAAGGAAAAGGAAAAGAAAAAAAGAAACAAAAAAAAAAATTTAAAAAGTAAAAGACGAAATTGTCCTTATTCCGATCGCCATAACAGTGACATGCTTGCCGGCTGATGAGCAATTGACCGGCCGGCGAACTCAAGCCCTTACTTGAGACTAATTGGGCACTTCGAGATCCTATTTGAGACTAATTTGCCACTTCAGGTCCTTATTTGGCATTATGTCCACTTTGGACTCTTTTTTGAGAAAATGATCCCACTTTGGGTACTGATTTGAAATTTTCCCTTATTTTTACTCTTTTACCTCTCAAAAACCCTTAAAAAGCGAGATTCCAAACTCTAGTCATCATTCTCTCTTTTAGCGGAGGGTCTCCAAGTCTTGGTTTTGCACAAATGATTAATAAATACTTCGAGATACTCATTAACAAGACCCCAATCTTTTTATATTAAAAGATGGAGAAGTTGAAGGGGCTAATTTCCTAAAAGAAACCTCAACTTTAGGTCCGATTGCAACTCTATCCCAAACTATTTTTGTCTCGTAAAAAATTTGCAACTTTCGCTCTATTCCCAAATCTCTCGCGTTTCAAAAAATCACCACTGATTTCTTCAATATCATCAACATCATGAGGTTGCTATTGTTTCTTACAAGCCGAGGGTGTTGATGAAAATATAGATATTGATAATGAACTTCCAACTAATTTTGATGTCGATAATTTCGAGTAAACTAGTAGCGATTTTTGGACGTGCGGGCAGATTTGGAATTAGCATGAAAGTTGGAGATTTTTTATGAGACAAAAAAGTTCAGGATACAATTGAGATCGGACCTAAATTTTGAATTTTTTTTTTTAGGGAATTAGGCCGTCACCGAAACTTTAAAAGTGGCATGATGCATCATCGTTTCGATTCCCTTTTCGATGTACGCATGAATCATGTTTGCATAAACCTTTTCTTTCGCATCACAATGCGCATGATCCTTTGGGGGTGTGGAACGTGAGAGCGCTTCGCTTTTTAGCTCCCTCGTTAGTCCCTACCGACCTCCCTCTTTTGCGGCGTCATTCGAGGATGAAAAGCGCTTGGCGACAATTCGATCTCAGCCGTCGATAGCAGGAGTTTTACCTTCTCATCTTTTGAAACAGGCCGTGCGATTAGGCGACAGACCCGGCTTTAACCGTCGGATCTCTCCCCTGCCCGTTTCCGTGACTCGGAAAGGAGTCGGGAAAAAGCTAGTAGGCATGCTGAAGCATCTTCATACCCCCATCATTTCTGCAGGAATTTTGTGGAGCTTTATTTCATGATATGTGACTATTTTAGGATGTAAATATCCTCCTACATAATAAATTGCTAACTATTTCTTCATGGTGACATTTATGGGGTCAGAAAGTTGACTTTCCAATGCCTCTAAATTGACAGGATGGAGAGACTTGATTTTGATTTTGATTGATCATCTAAAAACTCAATGTGTAGCCATTTTATTTAAGCTATCAGGAAATGGATCTGTATCCGATTTATATTGATAATACCGGATTTAGTTAATTAACGCGTCCTTACTTGATTCAATGAGCTTCATGCCCCGACCCGACGGGTAAAGATGATCCTTCGGCAACGGGATGTGTCCATCGTGCATGGCCGGTCGTCCCTCGACAAAATTTGCAACTTGCTTAAAATACATTGAAGAGAGCAATATTGCGACTACTCCTCGAAAATCAAATGCCGATTGGTCTTAAGAGGCGGCTTGACTGGCGCCCGTCTGAATCAGACCACCACTTGTTATGACAAAGTCACTACTTGTCCAATCAAGCCACCACCTATCTCAATCGAACCACCAAATGCCAGCGATCGGCCGTTGAGGTATGCTCATAAGTAAAATAGTGACCAAAAGACTCGGGTGTAGTTTATGGACTTTAGCTTATATTCTCTCTTTTAACCTTAGTACTATATTTATTCTTTCCGACGAACTTAAGCATGGGAGGGCCAATTCAGGTCAAGAACCCGGACCCCTTCTATCCGTGTGCACAGATCCATCTCTTGATATGAGCTTCGACGGACAAACATAATAAAGAATTGACTCGTAAAAATTGAAAGTTTAGCTCTCTTTGTGCTTACATAAAAGTGTTGTTCTTAACTTAGAAGCGGTACGCGGGTTATGTTATTACGTTACTTCTTCAATAGAGGTGTCAGATTTGAGTTATCGCACAACTTACAAATATATCTTAAATTAGAACTAGGTCCTACGCAACATGATAATACGACATGGAAGATACATGTCGAACTCCCAAACCCCAATCTCAAAGTACACATCTTATACGTTTCTTCATCATCTAATCTACGCTTAGGTCGTACATTAGGATAATTATGGTGACATAATTAAGAAAATAGTTAATATCCCAAAAAACCCTAAAATATGCACAGTGTGGCACTAATATCCCAAACCACTAAACTTGTCCAATGTGACACAAATACTTCAAATTTTTTGTGTCATAAAAAATTGCGAACTTATACTAGTGTGACAAATATACCTTGAATGTCATTGAAATAGATGATATATATCACATATGTATATCAAGACACAAAAAGAGTTTGGGGTGGTTGTGTTACAGTGAGCAAGTTTAAGATTTTTGGTGACACAAAAAATATTTAGAGTATTTATATCACAATAGACATAGTTTGAAGTTTTTTTTTTGTAATATTTGCCCTTATGAAAATCATGCGATTTATGTCCGAGGAATCTCTCCTTTTGTTTGGGTGAAGGAATCGAAGTCCCTTTCACGACCTCCGGTGCAGGAAAACGACGCGAAAGCTCCTGTCGCATTTGGTTTGCCCTCGCAGCTCGTAACGTAGGGCTTACGTGTGAGCGAAGCATGCAAGGCGTGCACTTCATCCCTCTCCGAGCGCGACGCTTTGGTCACCTCGTCACGCGACACTCCCTCCCTGTCGTTTCGACATAAACCCGCGACCTATCAACGTCGTTTTGCTTGCGACTTATGATACATCAGCAGGTCCAAATCCGTGACGTTTCCGACGAATTCTCGGCCACAGAAGGCGTCCAAGTTACGTTCACGTCCTGATCTTCTTTGTTTCCCATGCCTTTTTTAGGGTTTTGTTTCTATAATTTCGTTTGTGTATTTGATGTGCTTGTGTGATTAGGAACGTAATCTCTAATTGGTTTAGCGAAAAGCTTCTGGTGTTTCTCGCAATAAGCATAAGGATAAACATGAGCGAGGGTCCTTAATGAGAAAGAAAACAGATAGACACACCTAAATGATTTCGTCGTATCGCGGCAATCTCTTCCCACCGGCTGCCACTATAGAGAAGTTACTGAGTCAAGAGAGCTCTAAAGATCGGCCTGTAAAAGTCTTCTGCCACGAAACTCAAAACTACGACCATGCTTCAACAGATGTGGATTAGTGTTTGGTTTTAAATAACTCGGCTGATCTCTCGAAGGAGAAACGTAGGGTCTTAAAAGAGTTCGATATCTCATGAACACTGCATAGACACCTATGAAACTAAGGCTTTTCCATGAAGGTTAATGTCCGGATTATTCTTGTTATTGTTGTGTGAAAAGCCTTTGTTTGGTCTCCCGTCATGGCCCTTTTTCAATCGTTGTAAACAGAGAAAACACCCAGATTAACATCCATCTTAATCAAATTATCACTTAGTTTGAGCCCATTATTGAGTGGGCCGCAACCCAAGATTTTGGCCCAATCAAATGAGAAGATGAGCAAACCCGCTAGAGTTTCTCTTCTTCGGATTAACTCATCGAATGGGATACAAAAATTATTTGGAATTGAACGAACTCTAGGAATAGAATGACAGACCCAGAAGCAAACTAGAGTTTTCAGATATCAGATATAGGACTTGACATTTGAAAAAGAGACGGGCTCGTGCTAAAAGAGCCAGGCTTATCGTTATTAAGAATCTATGTTACAAGCTCATTATCATTAAGTATATAATTGATTTGAGAGTCAGAGAATGCCCGGGGACTGCCCAAGGCGCTCACCGTGCTCTTTTTTTGTGTGTTTTCAGATGGTCGGTTCGTGGTGGTTCGAGAGGTATTCTCTAACTAGAGTACCTGATATCTAATAATGCCATTTTATGGGATTATATGCATGAATGCATGCTTGCTTGCATTTCACAGAGAGAGAGAGAGAGAGCCCCCTGTTGGTCTAGTGGCCAACATTTGATCAGATGGGTTGGGGTAAAATGGTCTCTAAGAGACCATCTAGTTCGAGAGGGCGGAGTTGAAATTTAGGTTTTTCTTTTATAGTGCGCTTAGCTCATTTTTAATAAAGTGAAGATTAGACAAGATGGGGGTGTAATTGGGCTTATTAGCCGTAATCTGCTCGAGCACACAAGATAAGTCAAGAGCTTATAGAATCCAACACGCCAGTTCCAAAAGGGCCAGCCTTATAAACCGTGAAACGAGTTATAAGCTACTCAACTTATTCATGCAGTGAGTTCATATTACATTGTTAGAAGTGTCCATTGTGGTATGAACTATAGAGTTGGGCGGTGCCGACTTCGGAAGCACACAACTACTTTCCATCGTGTTTCTCCATTATTTAGCAATAAAAAGCATCATCAAAACATGGAAGTCTCATCATAAGTTGAACGTGGGAAGTCTTTTTTGACATTTCCTCTCTGTACAATCAACGGGGTTTGATGCCAGAAATGTACATCACAATTAGTACCCCCGTGCATAAAATCAAGTTTTGATAAAATAATCGATCTCTCCCAGGAAGCCTTAAGACAGCACTTGGGGTCCGAAAGAGACACAAGCCAAGGACCAAAAACGCATGTTAATCGATCATTACACAAGTCACGAATTAGGTCAAAAACTCTCAACATGCTTTGCCTACGGTGCACGGGAGAGGACCCGCACTGGAAGTCAACGCAGGAACTTTGGAACCATCGGCCACAACGAAGGACTGAGCTCCGGTGTAAAGTGGGGCACAAGAGCCGTAGCCAGACTGCACGAAGTATGCACCATTCTGGAACACATCTCGCGACGACCTCCATTTCCAGCTCTTCCAGTCGCCGCTCTTGGTCTCTCTCTTGGTGACCTGCGTCGTCACATGTCAAATTTGATGAAATTAGGATAGTCCCCATCATGTTGTATGATCAATGTTAAGGAGGAGATACTGAATTTTGCAAACAAACAAATGGAAAATTGATGAATGAGATGTCATCCTAGAGCTACCTGTTTGGAAACACGATTGTTGGAGGCCAGGAAGTAGTTGCCCTCGCTGAAAATGGTGGGATTGGCACTGCCACCAATTGCATACATCCGCCACTCATCGTATTGGTTGTTGGCTACATGGGCATACCCAAATCTAACCCTGCAAAAATCAAAATCATATGTTTTCCAGTCATATCAAAATCTATTTTGCTCATAATGTATATGTCTATCTACATATCTTACACATCTATCTTTATAAATCATATGAAAGTTGCCACCTACCTAGGCATCCTCTCAATTAGACCCGAACCGAAGCGGTTAAAGACAACCGTCACTCTCATAACTTTATCGGCCGTGTATTTGTCGTTGTGTCCGAGCAACATCACCTGCGGTTATTATGTATATGATCGCGAATTTAGCAAGTGCTAATCATGTGAATTGCCTGAAGATTTAGAAGTTGGTGCTTACTGTACTAATATTAATGCCAATACCTTATCATGCTGCTGGAAATAGTTGTTGGAGATGGTGACTGCCGTGGAAGCATGGATCACGTCGATGAGGCCATCGGTGCAACGAGCTAGAAAGCAGTGATCGACCCAGATGTGCGAAGATGCGAAGACACTGATAGCATCGCCGTCAGAGCCTTGTCGGCGGCCGACATGCGTGGGAGAGTCCCTCACGAGGCCTGATTTCCCGGGCTTGCAATCATGGATGCTAATCCCATGTATAATCACATGGCTCACGTATTGCACCGTGATGCATGGCCCATTTGCTATCTCCACTTTCGCCCCCCTCCCATCAATGGTCTTGTAACTGTTCACCATCAGCTCATTCTTGAGAGTGATCTTCATGTCCTTGGCAAAGGTGATCCAAAGCGGCTTATCTTGTATCACGCCGTACCGGAGCGTCCCGGGCTTTGGATTCGCAGGGTTGTCCAGCGGGCTAGTGACCACATAGATGGACCCGTACTTCCCCCCAATCGCATCGCTACCAAACCCGACGGCGCAATCGGCAAGGGCACGCCTGTTCGCCGCCCAAGTAGGGTTCGACCGCCAGCACGAGTCGATGACATTCATCAACTCCTGGTTGGAATAAGACGGAGTACTCGAGTAGTAGGCTTGTAAAGTCGAGAGGGGGAGTGTTAGGAGGCACGAGAAGACTAAGATTGGAGCTAGGTAGGCCATTAGGCTTTAGATGTGAGGGAATGAACCTAAAGATAGCCAAGAGAAATCGAGAGTTCTTATATGTTATAGGAGATTAGAAATATAGGTGGTTCACACGTTGGAGAGGCTCAGGCTTTTTTGGGAGGAAGTTGACCGGTGAAAGATTTGGATTTTGGGGTCTTGACATGAACGTGGGTGCACGAGCTTGGGGATTCTTGACTTGCCAAATTCAAGAATTCCCCTACAAACAAAAGATTGTGCCTACATACATTATAATTTAAGGCTGCGTTTGGTCGTCCGGATTTCTAAACAAGATCGGACTGGATAGGATAGGATAAGAAATCCTGGGATTTCTTCATATCCTGTCCACTGTTTGGTGGACTACGGATTTAAAGTCGGATAGGATAATTTTTTTTTTTTTTTTTGCTATTCACGGGTCCGGAGGAGTCGGTGAAGGAAAAAAAGCCGAGAAATTTTTTTGGTGAAAGCGCACAAGGTGTGGGGATGAAGATGACGGCGAGTGGAGAGTAGGGTTTCTGGAAAAATAGACATTAGAAATCCTATCCAGGTCTATCCCACTCCCACCCTCGGATTTTTTTATCCGGGCTATATCCGGTCTATATTCGACCTTATCCTATCCTGAACCACCACCAAACACAGGATAGGATAAAACATATCTTATCCTGGCTTTTATCTGGTCGACCAAAAGCAGCCTAAGGGTTTTTGACATTGGTGAGCAATGATAATTTAGTATTTCGATGGATTTGGTGGTTACATGTCGGCAAGAATGTTTGTTGATTGGTCGTTTGGGATAGATATGATTTGATAATATATATTTTGGAAAACTAAGGATAAAGAGAGGTATCGCTATGAATTACAATACGTTGGCTTCATCTCGTGTATTGTGTACGTTAATTCTCGGATTAAGCTTGTTATCCATTTGCACAACGCCTCTTCTATTTTTATGTAATCGTGATCTATTGAGCGTTTGCAAGGAGTTAACGAGTTCAAGTGGAGCTCCCTTGCAATTTTCGATACTTTTCCATTGCATTGCCTTCATTTCTTGAGATAATATAATATTAGGAGAAGTGTATTGGAAGTTTCAAAATTTGTTACAGAAGTACAGTTTAATCCAAAAACTTTTGACTTGAGTAATCAAGTTTTAAAACTTATCAAATTGGTGCAATTGAGCATTTTCGTTAGCTCTCTCTGATTTGGCTAATAGAAAAAGTCGACGTGACATTTTTTAATATTTTGATATTACATGTGGCGCTGATGTGATGCCAATTAGACGTCACATAGAAAGAAAGATTGATAAATTAAAAAAAATGAATTAAAAGAAAACGGAAAAAAAGATTAAAATAAAAAAACCAAAAAAGAAAAAAAGTGATTCTTGGGTGGGTGAATTGGCTTTGTCGCCAAGGGTTGGCAACCGCCGCCGGAAGTCGACGACCCTCGCCTACAAAGTATGGGTTGCCACCCTCAACTCTTAAGCTCGACTCATAGCATTGTTTTTCTTTCTTTTTAGCTCTTTTTTTACTTTTAATCTAACTTCAATTAAAGTTAAGAGGAAAATGGTCTCGTTTTGGTCATTGTTGCACTCCTCATTAACATAATGGACATGCGGAAAAGAGAAAATAATAAAAAAAAAGTCACGTTGGCATTTATTTCACTCGAATTGTATGGAGGTAACGAGGTACATGATTGCACAAATTGGACAAATTTAAGGATTTGATTGCACAAATTTTGAAAATTTTGGATTGAATTATATTTCTGTAACAAGTTTTAGAACCTTTAATGCACTTTTCATTATTATATTTAACCCTAGTTTCAACAACTACATAGTGTCCTTATTAAGATTTAGAATGTGGTCCCCACATATCTCTAAGCACTTAAACTTCAAAAGAAACCATACAATTCATTCTATATTGTTAAAGACAGTATCGAGAGGAAGTTCTGTCTAGTATTTGCCATGTAGCACTTCACTTTAAATCTATGTTTGCCAAGTGGCGCACATTCGACTAATAATCACAGATTAATTGCTAGAGATTGTCCGCGTGTGCATTTGTTATTTCTTTAGCAGTGAATTGTAAGCGATTTTTACCTGTGCATTGGGTTCAATTTAAATTGATATGCAGCTCCTACTAAACAATAGATAAGATATAATATAAAAATATTTAGTTTTGATATTGCAATTCACCAAACAGTGCTAAGGATATAGCAAAATCCCCTTGGGGGCTTGTCGTCTCGTTCTTTGCCGGCAAGGGTTGCCCACAATGGTTGCCACTCCTCGCCGGTGAAGTACGGGGCGGCGACCCCGCTCCTTAACCCTTGAGCTTGATCCATAGCAGATTTTCTTTTTTAGCTTTTCAACGTTTTTTACTTTTAATCTAATTTTCATTAAAATCAGGAGGAAAATAGTGTCCTTTTAGTCATCATTGCACTCTTCATTTACATAAGGGTTAATACCACGAAAAACCCCAAACTAGTACGCCTATGATAAATTTACTCTAAACTAATTTTTTGACCACCAAAAGCCCCAAACTGGTACATTTGCGACAAATTTAACCTCCGTTAGTTTTCGTTAAATTGGATTAATATCACGAAAAATCACAAAATGGTACACCTGTGACAAACGGAGCGTAAAACCCCAAACCGATACACCCGTCAACTGCCACTTATCATCCAACTCAGCAATTTGACAGTAAAATTTAACGGAAACTAACAGAGAGTAAATTTGTCACATGTGTACTAGTATGAGATTTTTTGCGGTCAAAAAGTTAGTTTTGAGTAAATTTATCACATGTGTACCAGTTTGAGGTATTTTTTTTTTAATGGTATTAACCCTTTATATAATAGCCATGTCAACATTTTCCATCACTCAAATAGGACAGAGTTAAGTGGGTGTTTGATTGAATAAATTGTTCAAGTTTTAGGACTCGATGCACAAATTGAAATTTAATATTGAATTGCATTTTCGTGACTGGTTTTAGTACTATCAGTGCACTTATCGCTATAATATTCTAACCCTTTGCTATATAGTTTCATCAACTCCATAGTTATTATTAAGATTCAGAATAGGTCCTCACATATGTCTAAGCACTTAAAACTCTTGAAGAGAACAACTGAGGATTCAATTATCATATATACATAAAACCGGAATTGAGAGAATGTCCGCTCTAATTCTCGCCATGTGACACTTTACTTCGCCTCTATGTTTGATATGTGGCACAGTCTTGCTATGTGGTGCACATTCGACCAATAAATTTTTAGCTTATTAGGTTGTCATCTGTTAGTATCTGTCTCTTATTGAATATTAGAAAATACATAAAAGAGAAATCATACGAAAATTTTACCTCTTATTGAATTTTAGAAGATGAATTCAATTATACTCTATCATCCCCAATTTCTATGTTCTATTTATATTCAGTTTAAATGTTAGTAAATGGATAAACAAAAGTTATATCAAGATAAGCTTCACCTTAATCATTTGTCATCCTTCAGTTTCTATCTCTTATTGGATTTAAATTTAGATTTGATCTCTTATTGAGTTCAAACTTGGAAAAAAGAAAGAAGATAATTTAGAGAAAGCACTTTTCAATTAAACTCCATCATCTCCCAATTTGGAAACCGTATTTATGTTTATCCAAAATTAGAACAGACTCGTGATCCGCCACTGTCCACACCAAAACTCTTCTCGTGACCGGACGAAGCGATATCCGAAATCACCTAATCCAGCAACCTACCCCGCTTCCAAGAGGGTAGAATCCGAAACAACCTGAACTCGGAAACTATTTGAATCGGAAACAGCTCCCCTATTCATGAAATCAACTCGATCGTTAATTTGCCAACTCCAAAACCAACTATTAACTTTCAAGACGAATGTTCTCGCTATATTAATTATACCACTTACTCGGTTCTTTCGCTTTTCAAAGTTACCCTTACACCACGAGTTAAAACTAACCACTACAATCTCTTCATCGAAAAAAAGAAAAAAAGAAAAATCGCTTTGCTCGCAATTATTTAATAACGATCCATTACACATTCACTCAATTTAAATTCACTAAAACTCCTATAATAATAAAAAAAAAATTGCATCTTTTTTTTTTCTCTTTTATGCACCTCAAATGCTAGAGTATACAGACTCGCTCTTGCAACTGTCCTTGCATTTAGGAGGGAAACCACCACCCATCGCGCGTCTCTCTCTCTCTCTCCTTCTTCTTCTTCGCGGTTCCCGAGAACAATCGCTCGCCCCCCGCCGCCGCCACCGTCGCCGCCGCCGCCGCCGTCGCTCCGACCCAAATCATACACACGTTCATCCCGAGAGAGGAGAGATAGAGAGAGAGAGGGGGGGATGAATCGGCGACAGCAGAGAGCGCTGAAGTTGTCCGTCGCGGTGATGGCGGCGTGCATATTGTGTTACATAGTCGGGCCACCCCTGCACTGGCACGTGACCGAGGCCCTGGCCTCCGTCCGCCGCCGCGGCGGGGGGCCCTCCTCCGCCGCCTCCTGCCCGCCCTGCCGCTGCGATTGCTCTTCTCAGCCGCTCCTCTCCCTCGGCGACGGTAATTTTCCGCTTCCGCCCCCTCGTTTCCCTCGGTTTCCTCCTGTTGCCTCTTCCGTTTCCGTTGATCACCGGCTGGCTTTGCTTTTTTCGGGTGCGATGTCGATCTGTCGCGCACCTCGGTTGACACGATTGATGTTCGACGTAATGGGATGGAGCTGATTTGATGATGTTAGCATGATCTACCAATTTAGCCTGTTGGTCGTGTCTTCTTACGTCTTCGAGTCTCGAGAAGATATTGCCTACGATGGATCGAACGTGATTGTGTTTAGCTTTGCCTATCATGTCAGCAACTCGTGTGTTTTTTTTTAATCATGGAAACTGAAGGAAGATGAAGGAGATTGATTACACCTTTGCTAGCTTCTCGTGCGATTTTTGTGCATTGAGCTTAGATTTCTATAGCTGCTGGAGGTCTAATTAAAAGCAGAAAAGGATGGTATATGCGGTATTTAAATGACGATACTGGCTTAGATCTTCATAAAGGCGAGACCTTTTAGCCTCTACGCGAAGTCATGGAGTTGCTGTAAAGATAGCTTGGTGCAAACAGTGCTGGTTACGTTTTCTAGGTTGGGATTTTCTGTAAGTCGTGACACCAATGATCTGGAGCTTTTCTTGTCTTGTCCAGAGCGAGTGAAACATATTTCATTTTGATACATTTAAAAGTTTCATTGCATTCTTATGTCTACTGTCGAATTGGTTGGACAGTTTTTTACTTTTAAGCTGTTTGGACAATGTTATCTGACCTTCCTGTGCTATGTTTGTCTGTTCTGTTGCAGAATTGATCAACAACACCTTCACAGGTTAGTATTCATCACTCAGATAATTCTAGCTGCCTTTGGAAGTAGTTTGCTGACTTAATTTTTTGGCTGGTCTGTCATTGGTGGAATGACTAACTGTAGGGAACTGATGGACTTCTATCGTGTATGAATAATGTGTATGCTTCATGCTGACACATGAATTAGCTGTATTCCTTGGTTGGAGTTCCTTTTATAGAGTGAGCTTATCACATACCCACTACCCCTTGAAGAGTTGTGGCATGTTGAGTTCTATGGGCTGTCTCTCCTTGCTTGCCTGTTGTCTATATTTTAACCAGAAAATCAAGGTTCTTTGTCCAATATGCTGCCTGCTTTTGACTAATTCTTGCGCACTATTGCTTTGTAACTGTTCATCTTTTAAAGATAATGGTCCTCAACATAGCGTTGAGCTCTGACATATAAGGTCTTCCGGTTGATTAGAAACTTGGTCTTCCTTATTTTGTGACAATATAATGGTTCAGGCATGCCATGCTGAAGATCTGACTGGACTATCAAGGATTTAGGGTAGAGGCCTTAAGCACCGAGAATTCGTGGATGCTGCTTACACATGCCAAATTTTTTTTTTCAAGCTTTTTTTAGGAAAATTGTCATATGAAACAGCTGTATAGCTTCACATGTTACTGCCGAGTTACTTTTTCATGCTATGTTTGGGACAACGGGGCATTGAGATGGTATGGAACATGACTAAAATTTGAATATCTCCTCTCATTTCTGTCACACAAAGATTTCAAACTATACCCTGTATTTCCCACCTACCTCACCTTTGCACTCATTTTTATCCCAAGCATAGCAGGCTATAAGAAGAAAGACTTTGGGATAAGTGTAGACAGGATAACTGACTTACATGTAGAGTCTCAAAATTTTATCTGTGACAAAGTTGAATGGAAAACACTTGAGGTTGAGTACAACATTAGCGTAATCTTTTTTATATATAATGTGAAATGTTATGGTTCTGCCACATTGGGTGTTTGGTGTACTTCTTCTTCTTCTTGGCCTGAAAACGTTGACTCGCTCAGTTTAGGTGACTCACACTTTGGATACTGCATAACGCAGGAGATTATATAGCCGGCCAGGCTAGACAAGTGCATCTTTGCTGTGCATCATTTATATAGTTCTCATTGGGTTTAGGGTCACTGAGAAGCTGTTCTTTTGTGAGAACAGTGGAGGAAGTTACCATTGCCTACAATTATTGAATAACTTTCTTTTTTGGCCTCTATACTTTCTAAGCTATGAACTTGGACATGACTTGCAATTTGCTATATGGCACTGTGACTGGATTTAGATGTGGCGATCACTTAGCCAAAACTGCCTGATATATATCAGTCGTATGAATTTGATTATGTTCTGTTGAAACAATGCTGATCTACGACCTGCCTTCACGTAACAAGAGCTATATGCTAAGCTAATTGAAGCATGACATCGGCTTAAGCCATTTAATTCCTTGGTTCCCTGCAATGGTCGTAGATTGTGTAAAGCATGACCCAGAGGTGAGCGAAGAAATGGAAAAGAGCTTCACAGACTTGCTAACGGAGGAACTGAGGCTGAGGGAAGCTCAAGCCCTGGAGAACCAGCAGCGCGCCGATATAAGGCTGTTAGAGGCCAAGAAAATGGCATCTCAATACCAAAAGGAGGCAGACAAGTGCAGTTCTGGAATGGAGACCTGTGAAGAAGCGAGGGAAAGAGCTGAAGGAATATTAGAAGAACAGAGAAGAGTGACTGCTATGTGGGAACTCAGGGCTCGTCAGAGAGGATGGCAAGAAGGGTTCCAGTAGGCATTACAAATATGTAAGTCGAGCTAAAGAACGATTCTGCAGATTTGATCCTTGAGAATTTTCTGTTTAGGGGTTACACTTTTTTATAAGAAATGCTTATTGGATTCATTCATTCATTCATTCATGTACTTATTATTACACTTCAGAAGTTATACTGAGAGCAGAAATAATTGAAAGCCCTATTGCTTGTCCTCCACTGCCTGCTACAACTCTGTTGTTTTTATATGTTTGCTTAAATGTTTTGCTCAAGTGTGCTTACTCTCTACTTTAATTTTTCAATCTACTGAAAGCATTTTGATAACAAGATTTCACTGTTTCTTATTTTTCAAGATTTTATCTGATAGTCAGTTGTCGCGTTTTTCTCTGACATGAATTGCTAACGCACGAGTGATTGGGATACATAAATGACAGTGGACGCCACTTCATTATATTTTCTCTACTAAGTATTGAAACTTATTTTGTCCTGTTGATAACACAACCATTGTGTCGCCGAAGAACGGAACCACCGTACCTTGCCACCAACAGTACCAACCCAATCTTTGCTCATCTCTTCGTAGCCTCTCTCTCTCTCTGGTTGACCTCTGACAAAGAATGCGACCTTGAACCTTGGATCAGAGGTCGCCAACCTCAAATGTAGAGGCGGCAACCTCATGATCTAAGGCGAACTCCCTAAATCTGAGAAAAGAGTTGGACTTTGAGTTTGTGGTGGTGGTTTGGTTGGAATCGATGGTGGCAGAATTTGGTGGGGATGGTGGCGTTGGTGGTGGTAGCCATGTGCGGTGGAGGTGGAGGTGGTGTTTGTGTTGGCCAAGTTTGATGGTGGTGGTGGCGGTTGTGGGGGTGGTTTGGGGTGAGTGCAGTATGATTTAGATGTCAAACCAATCCAAACCGCATAAATAGAGTTAGAAAAAAGTGTAATCAAACCAAACCATATAGTTGGGAACCAAATCAAACCATTTCTGCATTATCCACATTTGTTTCATCAAAATTTAAGTTGATATTATCATACTTAAGATTAGTAACGCGTACACTTGTGTAAAATCATAATCTCATATCAAATGAAAATTGAAAGAGTTAAAAGGAATAGAAGAAATACGAATCACATTTATAGTGGTTCGGCTTTTCACTTGACCGACTTTACTCTCTTAGCTCTTACAGACTCAACAAGGTTAGATTCACCATGTAGTCCTTGAAATGTTACAACTAACACAAAATCTGTTGCTTCTATTCGAAGCTTCTAGAGTTGCTCCACAAACTTGAGCACCAACCACAATATTATATCACTCTTTTCCACGTTATGCATAGTCACACCCTCTACAAAGAATTACGAAAAATCACTCTATTTTGCACAAAGAAGGCAAAAGAATTGAGAGAGAGAGTTGTTCGTGAGATTCTTTTATCCCACAAATCACTTGGATATGATTTTAAAGACTTCCAAGTTTCAAGATATCCATTGAAAGTTTTATCTAATCAAGTGGCCGTTGCTCCGAACTTCTTTGACCATCAGAGGAGCTTTAAAGGCCACTTCCCAAAGTAGAACACTTTGCTTCTGCAATCTGCCTGATATCTTTTCCTATGTGATTCATTCTAGGCTGCTCTCAGCGAATTCCAACACTTGAAAACAGTTGTAGAACACCAACTCGAGTCCAATTCAAATTGATAGAGAGTTGGGTCTTTCCGCTTGCTGGAGGCTCGTATATAGAACCATCAACTTCGTCTGCAACATGTACTGCTTCAGCAAGACGGTCATTCCTGACTATTCACGAATTTCTTTTTATGGTCTATTCACCTTCTGCAATTAACATCCGCATCGACCTTTTATTGATCCATCCAAGCTTTAATGGACTCTGGATCAACAACTTGTTCTCTAAAAAAAAAAAAACTTTGCCACAACCTTTGACTCGATGAATCGCACAGACGCACACAATCGATCTCATTTGCATGCATAAGATTACCTCCACAGGTGAAAGGCATGACGCTAAGATTACTCCGTGCGTGACGATTTATGTTCATATTGCAAAAGTGAATCAAATACTTTACACCATATTTTTGTTTGGTAGTATTTTAATTGATTTTCTTCGTAAGCAATGGATGTGCTATTTTTATTGTCAAAGACATGGTAGCTACTATTCTAAAGCAAATCTAATGACGCATATGTTGGATATTTCAACAGTTTTAAAATATTTGAAAGTAACGGTATTAATAGAAATTACGACGACCATGGGAGCCATTATTCAGTACCGATTTTGTAACGTTTTATAACGGTTTAGTAACGGTTTTCCATTTAAAGCAAGAATTGACAATAGAAAAGGCTCTCTTTTTTTTACTTTCAAATTGTTACTTCGAACATAATTGAAAATATATATAGAAAAACATGAATATCTTATTCTTATTATATTTTTCTTTTCTTTCTTTGCTGGGTTATACATACAGTTTAGTTGTTTCTGTTCCTCTATTCTGTGCGAAGTAAAGAAGAAGATTGTATTTTGGGAGAATAGCCGCTGGAGTCTATTGCACTGAGTTTTGTACTCCGGGAACGGAATTATCCTTAGGACAATATTTGCATGCCTCAAACAGTTCATCTTATTATTTCACCTTTCCCAACATATTTCCAACAATTCTCATTTTCATATTCTCTAATTTTTTCCAACGTCATTAAGGATAATTTAATGTCTTAAAGCCTAGTCTCAAATCTCTAGTAAGTCTTCTCTTGCCACAAGGAAGACGATTCTAGCGATTCCGCCAAACCGATGGAGCCTTTCAATTCGGACTCCATCCCAAGTGGCACGAACCAGGGATGTACAAAGGAACCGGGAACCACTTGGATTGCCCATAACTGATGGTTCCCGCAGGATCAGTCCAGTTCCCAGTTCTAGATATGGAATCACCCACCCACCCATCCACTCATCCACCCGGACCGGACCGATAATATATATATGTATAATTTTTTAAAAAAATTTCCAATAAAAGAATGAAAAAATTTCATGAAAAGTAAAAACCTTAAAGTCCTCAATCTAAAGCTCAACGGCCATCAATTCAGTGCTCATCTCGTCTCACTTTCAGTCGTCTCTCTATCTCTCACTCATGATCTCGACTCTCAAACTCAATGCTCATTGACTCACGGTCGGGCCTCTGGCCTCTCTCTCTTGCTCTTGGTCACCTTCAGGTCCGGTTCCCGGGTGAATCCATAAAACCTATGAGCAATTCCTAGTTCTAATTTTTTGGAACCAATCTTTAATGAGCGATTCCTAGTTCCATGGTGGGAACTGTCTACCTAAACCATACTCATCCCTAGCACGGATGCGGACGATTGATCGAAGCCAATCATCCTGGTCACCAACATTGACGGAATCAAGTCCCCTTGCCTTTCTTACCTCGTCGAGGCTTTTGTCCACGAAGGCCTCTACAACGTCCACGTCTACGTTCCTCAATGCGTACCGTTTCAGTTCGAGTTTAGAAGCAGGTGACACGTTGTCCTGTTTATATCAAATTCAATTTACTTTACATTTGTCTTCTTAAATCTTGCTGGATAGAGGAGGTCGTTAAACAACCTCGTAATAAATTCATAATTCCTTAAATAAGTATTATATTTGAATTGTGTTGTAATGGAAATATAATGTTGCTCTTACTACATCAATAATCTTTTCGTTTTCATTACTAGCGGTTGAAGATGTACAAGGAAAGCTAGTCAGAACATGTAGTGGATGGATCGGTTGGTTTTGAATTTGCATACTTCCTCTTGTGTTTTGTGTTGTTATTATGAAATGGCTCCCCTTCAAAGGATTGTCTTTTATAACTGAACAATAGCCGCATACGATTATCAAGCATTGCAAGATTTTTCCGTGTCCTTTTAGTGTCTTTATTTCATTCACGATACAATGTGTGCATGTTTATTGAGTTATCTATGGCTTATGTGTTTCTCTTGTATAAAGCAAAGGTAGAAAATCAATTGAATAATCAAGATAAAATGGTGCAATCCAAAAGTTACTTATGTCATTTTCTAGCTCTTTTACAACGTCAATCGGCCTCAGTGTTTGGAAAATGATTTGTTGGAATGCAAGGAGGTCTTGCATCTTTAGCTTGTCTAAGGATAATTGAGATGGTAGAGGGGATAATGAGATATCGTGTCTTGTTTCAACTGGCTCTGATTGTATCAGAGTTTGGAATTGTATCATGACCATGAACTGAAGCTTTGTAGTGTGGTAATTCTTTTTGCTGGAAATTAAGCCCCCTTGCTCTGAGTTGTGTGTTATATGTCAACATGTGGCGAGAACATTAATACTTGCTTGAAGCTTTGAAATTTGACATGTTTTCCACTTTCAATTAAATTTACTTTACTATTTGCTTGACACTTCAAGTCCTCGCGGAGGGTTGTGCACTCTATCATTTTGTTACCTTCTTTTAGAGACTTGATTGGCTTTTACATTGGCAAGGAGAATCTCCTTTAGTTGATTGCCGCGGAGATGGAATTTACATATGTTTCCTTGCATCAGTAGCCAACGATAGATCTAAATTAAATCAGATTTGATGTCTTTTGTGAAATACTGCTGTCAAGTCTATGGCATTTTATATAGTGGATTTTCCGCTGTATTAGAAACATATAATGATGCTAACTGAATCTCAGATTCGGAGTGGATATGTGTTCATCCTTGGTGGAGGTGCTGTAACTTGGAAATCAATAAAAAAAATTGTGGGAAAAATGATAATCCTGTTAAACCAAAAGTCGACTTGGTTAAAGTAGATGATTTTGATGACGCAGTTGCTGCGATCATTTTTCAAGCCAATATTGTGGCCAATACGAAAAAATGGATGCTAGGCTCACGTTCTACCAAACATATATGTAAAACAAAAATACTTTATCATTCTAGTAAGGAAAGGAGAAGTACACATTTATCTTAGTGATTCAAGAACTGTTCAAATTCTTAGGAAAGCGAATGAAACCGACACCTTCCGTGTCTATGCATTGTGATTGCTAAATGACAATAGCCATTGCAAAGCGATAATTGTCATTGCAAAGAATGAAACTTTCGATGGTAAAGAGACACATTTGGTTGAGATGTGATGTGAACTCAGAATTGAATTTGACCATTTTCTTACTAAAACTTTGGGAAGCAAATTAATGATGCATCGAGGAGAATGAGACTTAAGCCAATTGAGGAAAATCAACAGTGATTGTAACCCAATCTATATGATTGGCGTTCTCATGAATTAGGTTCCTATGGGTTATAACTACATTTAAATCTAGTGATGCATATTAAAAATTGTTGTCCCTCATAAGGTGAGAATAGTGTAAGACTGCAATAAAAAAGAGGTTGAACGAAGCTCTTAATAAATTCCATAATCATTATTGTTAGTGTATTAAACTACAAAAGACACTTAAATGGGAAGTGGGGCCGCTCCTATGAGAACTTTTGACAAAAATCTCTAAAGCACTTATGAAAAAACCAGACACACGCATAGCTTATTAGGGCAAAACCACATTGAACAACAAAAATTGTGAGGTTGTAATGTGATTGGTGAAAATTATTATTCACAAAATAACATTGTTACTTCATAGAAGTTTCAAACTTCACAAATGATTTCATGAATTATATTTCATTCTTTTTAGGTGTGGTTCATAACCTAATAAGCATTAGTTCTGATGCATTGCATTTAATTGAGTTTAACTTGGTGTTCATTTTTTTTCCTTTCTTTCAAAACCTTTTAAAATATGTGAGGGATTGTTGGATATTTCAACAGATTTAGTAGAAATTATGACAGACGTGAAAGCCATTATTCTATAACGGTGTTGTAACATTTTATAACGGTCTAGTAACGGTCTTGACTGCAATCAATTTGTAATGAATTTGTAACGATTTTCAATTTAATGCAACAATACAAATTGTTACCCTAGCATAATTGAAAAGATTCATAGAAAAACATATCTTTACTCTTTACATTTTTCTTTTATTTCTTTGCTGGGATATAGATATAGTTTAGTATTCATATTCTTTCTATTATTCTGTGCGAAATAAATAATAAGGTCTATTGTATCCATAAAGGATAGCCATTAGAGCTTATCACGCCGAGTTTCATATTCAAAGGAGCGGAATTATCTTTAAGGACATTGTTTGCACGCCTCCAACAGTCAATCTTAATTTTTCATGTATTGTAACAGATTTCCAATAATTCTCATTTTCACATTCTTTAAATTTATCCAACAGTTTATTACCCTCAAACCCTCGTATAAGAGAATGCTATGATATAACATGATAAGATACATCGTGATCACATGATATAACAAAATCGAGTTTAACCCGTTGGACTTGATTAGACTAATTTGACAAGTTTTAAAAATTGATTGCATTTTTTAAAAATATTAGGACTCAATTGCACTTTGTGAAAGTTTTAGAACTTAATTAAGATACATGATAAGATACATCATGACAACATGATATAACAAAATCGAGTTTAACCCGTTGGACTAGATTAGACCAATTTGACAAGTTTAAAAACTTGATTGCACTTTTTAAAAGTATTAGGACTCAATTGCACTTTGTGAAAGTTTTAGGACTTAATTAAGACACATGATAAGATACATCGTGATAACATGATATAACAAAATCGAGTTTAACCCGTTGAACTTGATTAGATCAATTTGACAAGTTTTAAAACTTGATTGCACTTTTTAAAAGTATTAGGACTCAATTGCACTTTGTGAAAATTTTAAAACTTAATTACACTTTTTAAAAATTTTAATACCCAATTGGATAAGTTTTGGAACTTCCAATGCGCTTGTCCTTATCTTTTTATACCGGCACAAATTTAACTACGATCTCCTGAATATTTGATTCGATTGTTTCCTATATTGTTTTGACTTTTTGGCTGGATTCTTTTCACATGCCGTATTAGCGTTGGATGATTATCTCTTTGCCACACGTTCGAATTGGCAAGTAGATGAGCACTGGAAACTGATTCAAAGCGTATCCCGATCACCACGGGCGATTTCTGATCTCCTTAGCTGTCAAGCAGCTAAAATAGGAGAGAATAAGGGCAAGATGGTCATTTCAGCTGACCAATGAAACCAATCTCTAAGGAGTATAAGAAGGCCCAAGAGGAGAGACTTGCAGTCATCTCAGATCCAAGAAAATCAAGAGCACCTCATCATAAAGCTCTCATGAAAGTTGATCCATGGTAGAAGAAGAAGAAGAAGAAGAAGAGGAGGAGGAAGGAGAAGGAGAAGAAATCAGCCTGTCATGATCCATAATCATGAGAGAGAAGATGGGTTGAGGAAAGATGGAAGATGAAACCTATTGTGTCAAAATTTGGAAGGTTTTGCCAGAAATCCAGGTAAGGGGTGTGAAGTTCTTCATGATGCTGCTTTGTTTTCTTCTTATGTTAAGATCAATTTTTTTGAAAGAAGGAAGAGACTCAAAAGATTAGGTTTTGGAAACCCTTTTTAGAGACTCATCGAAGAGGAGAGAGTGATAGATTCACACAAATCTTCTATTTTTTTTTTTTCTGTTTTCTGAGTTATGAATATGGACATGGGATATGAACATTATATTGGTGTTCCTACTTATTTTGAGAACTCAAAGATTTTTCATTTTAATTAACAATTTCAAACAAAACTAGGGCATGTTTGCGTGGACTTATATTAGAATTAATTAATTTTTGGTTTTTCATGTTTTAAATAAAAAAAATTTGCACAGGATGTCATGGTTAAATCAATTGCTCCTTTCAATCAAGTACTTTTGATGAGCAGTATCTAAAAATTGCTTATCACTCAAAAAGTGCTTATACGGCACTTATAAATTGCACTAGCCATTGTCCATGGTGCTCATTGATAGTAGGTAAATGTGTCACATTTGTACAAGTTTGAGTTTGAGGTAAATGAGTTACATATATAAATTTGAGGTAAGTGTGTAATAGTTTTGGGTTTTTGGTGACTTTTTCCTTCTTGGTGTGCGTTTATTTGATTTGAAAAATATTTTCTTAAAAACAACCGATTGTATTGCTTACAAAATAGAAGGTAAATGTGTCACATATGTACAAGTTTGAGTTTGAGGTAAATGAGTTACATATATAAATTTGAGGTAAGTGTGTAATAGTTTTGGGTTTTTGGTGACTTTTTCCTTCTTGGTGTGCATTTGTTTGATTTGAAAAATATTTTCTTAAAAACAACCGATTGTATTGCTTACAAAATAGAAGGTAAATGTGTCACATATGTACAAGTTTGAGTTTGAGGTAAATGAGTTACATATATAAATTTGACGTAAGTGTGTAATAGTTTTGGGTTTTTGGTGACTTTTTCCTTCTTGGTGTGCGTTTGTTTGATTTGAAAAATATTTTCCTAAAAACAACCGATTGTATTGCTTACAAAATAAAAGGTAAATGTGTCACATATATACAAGTTTGAGTTTGAGGTAAATGAGTTACATATATAAATTTGAGGTAAGTGTGTAATAGTTTTGGGTTTTTGGTGACTTTTTCCTTCTTGGTGTGCATTTGTTTGATTTGAAAAATATTTTCCTAAAAATAATCGATTGTATTGCTTACAAAAATGAACGAACGTACCTAGAAATATTTAGACATAAATTGTTGATAATAATGAAATATTTTTTATTGATAAATTATTTCAACGGATACAAAGCATTATTTTTGGAAAATAATTTTCCAAATCATTTATCTCTATTTCATTTACATTGCATTTGGGTCACTTTCTTTTTACTTAATTTTACATGTACTTTCAGGTTTTTTTTTGTCGAAAGAAAATTGTATTCATTGCTCGAAAAGATATTTGAAAAGTACATGCCGAAGCAAATCGAAGCATAGTAAATCCTAGAATACTACAAAACAAAGCCAATCCCAAAAAATAAGAAGATTCAACGGAGTGGAGAGTCAACGGAGCACAAGAGATCCCAAAAATAAGGAGAGTCAACGGAGTACAACAGATAAGATAAGAAGAGTCAACGGAGCTCAATAGACCCCAAAAATAAGGAGAGTCAACGGAGCACAGGAGACGAGAGTCAATGGAGCACAGCAAACTGCAAAAATAAGGAGCGTCAATGGAGTACATCTGACAAGGAGAGTCAACGGAGCACAATAGACTCCCCTTCTAAAATAATCGAATATGTCAGGCAAAATGACCCCAAAAAATAAGGAAAGTCAACGGAGCACAGCAGACTCATGTTCTAACATAATCGAATATGCCAAGCAAAATAATATTTAGCAGCCGATCATTGAATCTCGCATCTTCCTCTACACCAACTTCGTACAACGAAACCCAGGTATTTGAACTTTCTATATTTAGATAATGAAATCCTTTTGTGACTTAGCTCTATTATGTACACGAACGTATATTGCCGTTTTTGCTTGATGATAGTTGTTTCATTATAATTTGGATCATTACTTTGACATATGTATAATCTTTAATCTATTTCTTGAGTTGGTCTTGGACTTATTTGTACGAGTACAATTACACACATACGTGATGAAATATTTTTTATTGACAAATTATTTTGAGCGATACAAAACATTATTTTTGGAAAATAATTTTCCAAATCATATATCTCTATTTCATTTACATTGCATTTGGGTCACTTTCTTTTTACTTAATTTTATAGATACTTTCAGGCTGTTTTTGTCGGAAGAAAATTGTATTCATTACTCGAAAATATATGCTGAAGCAAATCGAAGCATAGTAAAGCCTTGAATACTACAAAATAATCGAATCTGTCAAGCAAAATAATATTCGGCGGCTGATCATTGAATCTCGTATCTTCCTCTACACCATCGTATATTTGATAATGAAATCTTAACATTTGGAAGAGCAAATCTAAACACAGAATTGCAGGTATTTAAACTGTCTATATTTTGATAATGAAATCTCTTTGTGACTTAGCTCTATTATGTACATGAATTACGACGTATTCATTATAATTTGGATCATTACTTTGACATATGTATAATCTTAATCTATTTCTTGAATTGATCTTGGACTTATTTGTGAGAGAACGTAGTAACTTAGCTAAATTAGGTGTAAGAATGGCGATCCATGTTCGGCTTAAACGGGGATCATTAACAGAAATCTAATATAAAATTTAAAGGGTAAGTCTTTGATTTTGAAGATTATCTTGAAATAATTATGAGTTTTATGAATCATAGCCCTATATATTGAATTTGATTTCTCCTTTTTTTTTATTGCTCCCACTAATCTAAAGCCCTAACCCCTAACCATTATGTAGGTGAAGGTTTAGAATAATCATGAAAAAATGTGACAGTTCAATATCCCTCATTCTCTTCACTTCCGCGTTCTATTTATCAAGCGGATTTTCATAAATAAACTTGATGAGGACCTATATGATGCATATTGAATGTTCTGATGATTTTTTTTGTCAAGGTAATTGTATTGCTGGTTAATTGATAACACAAAATCATTGTTATGATGGTAATCCAATAATCTGTTAGTGTGTTATCCTTGGCACCATCTTCATTCAGTTGTAGGGAGAGAGAGATTGAGGATTCTGAGACAATTGTTTCCTGTAATAAACCATTGAATTGTAGGATGTCTACTCATACAGAATCAATGTAGGTTCTTGCTGCAAATTTTATTTCAGAATGAATAATCGACTCAATTTATTGCAGGCAAAATTGTCTCGCTGTTGAGAGAGTTGGCAAAGTTCTTGCACATTTCTCAACAAAAAAATGGAGACTAGATGACTATCTACACAAAAATGCTATAACAAGACCCAAAAAACAAAAAGTTGCTGCTGCAGGATCCTCTTCCCTGCTTTGAGCTGATCCGATGTCAATTGAACTATCCTACTACTGAGATTCTCCTCCTCATCTCTGTAACAAGTCCTCTAAATCTTTAGCTGCTTGATCGACTGCATAAATTATCATCTTTTTAATCTGTTTCATGGGGAGATCATAGAAGGGTGAGAACAGCTGAAATCTCCAAAAAGCAAAAGATGCCACGGCCAAACATGTAAGGTGATATTATGTGTTACCTCAAGTTTGTCCTCTCTGGCTTTATGATTCCTCGGAAGTTGTCTGAACTCCTCAGTCAACCGGAGGCACTGATCGATGTTCTCAGGAGAGACAAAGTCGGCGGCAACTTTTGTGCATGACTACAGGAAGAATGACGAAAGTAATTTAGAGGACTTCCATTCAAAGTGACGGCACAGGTAAAAGATTTAAAGAAGCAGTTTATTTACCTTCAGATTTCTAACTTGGTGGGGGCATCCAGCGGGAATAAAAACAGCTTCGCCTAAGTGTTGTTCAAATGTCCATGGTTCAATTCCTACAAAGTTTCAAAGTCATCAGTTATGTTCACCGTTGGATACTATTTAGAGGAAAAAGCCATCAGTTTCAGCATATACCAAATTCGTCCTTCAACTTCCTCTTGTGCTCCAAAGTAAGATAGAACGATTGGTCATGGATCGGATGAATGACCTGATCATAGAGGGAGTGGGGTATCAGATCCAGGAACATAGCTTACATATATATGCCAACAACAAGAGCAGCATAATTGTGCTGGGAAATTCACCTGTTTAACTGGATTGCAGTATGTATGCCTGAATTCATTATGGTGCTTGCTAAGATATGCCTCCAACTTGGGGATGTCCTCTCTCCGGAAAATGTCCCACAATGCACCGCCGCCTCTTTGCTTGATTTCTTGGTCTGAACAGAGATTGTTCCTGCATTTCTCTTCTTCTTTTTCCCAGCGTCCCTCGCGACCATCAAGGCCTTCAAGATTCTGATATTGGCATCCTGTTGCACCTGTTGCATTTAGATCAAGCTCTTCCTGTGCTTGACATTGAAGTTCCATCACATCCTGTGCTTTGTGTTTCTCTTTCAAGGTTTTCACTGCAGATTGCTGCTCTTCACTTAAGGACACCTCAGCTGTGTGCGTCAAGATATTCACCTGCCAGGCGGGGAAAATGGGTGGGATGTCAACACAACGCACTCGAGTGTCTGATCATGACAAATATCTATTTGCATGCCATGCCACCACTTCGTTCCTAATAAATGCAATTCCTAATAAATGCAACGCATCTTCAAAACTGAGCAGTGCCATCTACTGCCTAACAGATGTAGTATGTTCTAATTTTGGTGAAAGCTGGCTGGAATTTTCCATCATATCATGGAAAGAAGTGATTACTGTACTGCTGTACTTGGACAATATCAATATCAGGAACTTTCACCTCTAAATCGTGCTTATGGCAACACATTTTCTCTACTGTTTTGTCAAACATAAATGTTCCATGCTTGGTGATAGTCATAATGATTAATGAAAAATGCAGTGATTCATGCATCATAATGAAATAAGGCGCACCGCATCTGACATATCGCAGTGAAGCTTGGTCACAGAGTCGCCTCTTCCTAGCTCTTCAGTAATACCATAGGCAATATAGGTCTTCGGTCCCATGTCTGGCTTCAAGATGCTTGGTGGTAACTTTACAGCCAGGTTGAGGAAGCCAAATCGAGGGTCAGTATAGGCATGAAATGGCAAGGCAGTTATGAACTCATCACAGTGGCGCGGTAAAAGATCCTCAAACTTGTCCGAAGGAGGCCAGTCCTTTAGCTTTAGCATCTCAGGCCAAAAGTTAGCATATCTTCGCCCCTCTGAGTATCCTTTGAAGAATTGGCGCGTGCTAATGGCCACCTGAAAGTTCAATCAAGTGCCATAAACAAAACAGGTATGATAAAAGATGATCTTAAAAGATGATCTTAAATGCTTGAAGAAGAAAACATGTAGAAAAAGATGATACGATTGTCAAGAGTTTCAGTTGACACTGTACATGGACAAGTGATATCATGTCTTTACATGTTATTTGAAAAAGTAAAGGTATAATGATATTTACTTCGCAACCAGCTAGGCAATCAATGGCTTTGACTTCGGAAAATTTTGAACCAGATGTTGAATCCATATTTCCACATAATGCGCGCCACATCACCATGGGTTCCCAGCTCAAACCAGGGGTCCGCTCTAGAACATTTCGAACTATGACAGGTTCACCTTTGATCCAGTGACTTCGGAAGCATAGAAGCTCCTCTTCATCCAAAATTGCACTTGATGCCGGACAATACAAGTAATTGTCAGCGGAGTGTTCTCTGGATGCGGCCTTTCGTAGCATCTTATCCCCAGTTTTAGAGCAATTATGCTTCCGAGTGGTATGTTCAATTTTGCCAATTTCTAGCAAGTTTCTTGCTCGCATCTCAAGCTTGCCTATCCAATCTTTATCATGTATGCGCTTAAGCTCTAATTTACGATTACCACATCCACCCATCTCACTTGGTGCGCAATTGATGCTCCCATCAGTGTTAGCTTTCCATTCAATGGATTGAGCAGCATGAGGAATAGTTTCTGTATGTGGCACAAGATCTATGTCTTGAAGTGCCACAAGATCACCATGAATATAGTCGTTGCCTCTGACCTCGTACTGAAGCTTCACCTCAGCACGGGAAGAAAGTTTCCCCTGGCGAATTTCTTGGCAGCAATTGAGACAAAGTTCAAAAGAGCACTCTGGACAGCTTCGATGAAAGTCTACAATGGAAGTAGCACAATTGTTGCTGCTCCAAATACAAAAACAAATATAGACGGTTGGTCATATAAGAATGAAAACACACAAGAATATGTGTTTTGTACTCTTTATATGTACGCTCAACTCTTACCAGTAGACACGCTCCCAATTGTGACAAAGAGACATTGGAACTTCAACCTCATCAGCCGGTGTTCCTGAATATACTAATCATATTCACGTCCGTCCTAACATAAGACAAAAGGGTAAGCAAGTTTTACCATGTGTACCTTGTATGTCAGCTTCAATTTGTGTCTCCTGCATTTGCTCTTCGCAAATTTGCCTTAAAAAGGGAAGCAGTTGTCTCATTAAGTACTTCAGGTGCTCAACCATCTTATCATCAGACATGCTCACTTTTGACGCCTGAAATTTTATAACACCATGTATTAGTCAGAAAAGAAGTTCGACAGTTTCTGAAGAGGCATTTCCATGAGTAATGGTATTAAGCATCCTAGAGTTTCGATAGTTTGTTCCAATCCATTAAGCACTTTAACAAATAGAATGCCGGTGGTTCAAGTTTAGCGGTAAACATCACAGCAGGAAGCTCTAGATCTAACAGGTAACTAAACTATGAGGGAAGACCATGGAAACTACCCCGTAAATTGTGAGCTCATTAGACCTACTGATTGTCAATTGTTCTTGTTTTTGTTCTTTGGCAGTTACCAAGGGAAAGGAAGATAAAACATCTAAACATCGCAGCAGGAAGCTATAGACCTAACAGGTAACTAAACTATGAGGGAAGATCATGGAAACTACCCCGTAAATTGCAAGCTCATTAGACTTGCCGATTGTCGATTGTTTTTGTTTTTGTTCTTTGGTAGTTACCAAGGGGAAAGGAAGATAAAACATCTAACCCTAGACCTTTTTAATCTCTTTATGGGTGGACCATCACTTGACCAAGGCCTTATTCCTGATTGATGAGAAATAAAGAAGTGGAAGATTAGTGACTGAGAAGAAATATAAACAGTCATCACAAGAAAATACCGATGAAAATTGAGAACTCCACTGTTAGGTCACAGGTTTGGTTTCCCTCTTAAATAACATACACTGTACCTTTGAGTAAATTTGTCCTCACTACGTATGAAATAAGATAACACACCTTTATGATGCCTCCAGAGTGCAAGCAACAGCTGCAATTGCAATTTCCACGGCAAAATGGGCAAAGTTCTGCTATGTCTACTTCCGACATCTGAGGGTACCTTTAAAGCAAAAATCAGACTAGCCTCAATAAATATGTAGTGTTCAATAATTAGAAAGATAAAAGTATCGAATTTAACAATTAAAAGTGTACCATTGCTTGATGCATTGGATACAATACATCTTCTGCTTACAGTTGGTACATGGGACAACGATCCTTCTTTCTTTCTTCATGCATTGATGACACCTCGCACGTTCTTTTCCTTTAGCCTGCCCAGAAAGCTTTGTCGTGAAATGGAAAGCAACTTTGTGACACCTAATCGTAGATGAATGGACAACAAATAGGTTACCTCATACTTCCCCTTCGAGCAGCCAGTATCACCAGTATTATCAATTTTCAGAGTTGAATGAAAGGAGCCAGAGGAGGATGGCGATGCCCGAGATGAAGTATGCAGTGAATCATCCATCAGATCAAACTTGTTTTCTCTTCTTCTGCGGGTTCTCATCTTGACTAGACGTGATACTTCTTCCACATCTTCGCTGGATCCATCGTCCGTGTACTCAACATCAGAAAGTCCCTTGCTACAGTCACTTCGTGGCTTGTCAGTTCGGAACTTTCTGGTTCTGCTGCCTGTTTGCGGCTTTTTGGACTTGCTCGATGTTGTCAATGTCTCCATTTTGAACGATAAATTCACTTTGTCAATGCTTTCCCATTTAGTCCAGGAAAACCCATTCGCTGAAGTTCTCTTTCTAGTCGCACTCCTATGCTTCTTTACAATATTTTTACCATGCAAACACTCATCAATTTTAGCTGCTAACTTTCTCTTCTTCACTGCTTCATTCTTTGACACAACTTCAGTTTTCTTTGCATGTGTCACCATATTAGGCTTCCCCTCATCTTCCAATGTCCTACTATCATTTCTATCCAGTGAGCTCCTCGGGAATTTTCTGCTTTTTACAAGCTTTTCAACCTTTGAGGATCTTGGGATGTTCGGGTTTGCATTATCAGCGTAATAACTGAGCTGCCGATGCTTTGAGAACATGACAGCTGCCATCCTCACTGCAGGAATTAGAGAGATCCTTCAATTAATAGATCCAGGACAGTCAATCATACTAATAAATCGATGACTTGTGATTGCACCTTTCGCGATTTTCATTTATTCAACATTTTCATACGAATGTCCCTGGATCTACTTCAAAGCAACAATCTTGAAATAAAAACTTAACTTTAAAGAGGAGTGCGGTCGAGAGGACGGAATGGGTCCCTCGTAGGCGATACGAAACATAAGAAGTACAGAGAATTCCTAGTCCCGAGCTAATTTCGAGGCTTAAAGACACCGCATTTAATGAAATAAGCAGAACCTCTTAAAACACAATCATCGAGTTAAGTCAATGAGAATCGATAATGATATCCCAAAAAGAAGAAAACCCGAAAAAGTAAAACAAAACCACTTCATGTTTGTTCGAATCCGGCAATTATCGATGAGCCGCAACGGGAAACACTACCGCGTAATTATTAAGGACAGGCCATCGAGAGAAACGAAGCTTTTGTTTTTGCCCAGACAAAGCACTTCATCTCCAGAAACAAGACAGTACAAAACTGGTAAAGTCAATATAACAGTAGCAGCATACCAGAACAGGGAACACAAGTGCTCGCGCATTGTTCGCGATCGCTAAACTCAAGCCCCGCATCTCATAAACGGGACGCGGCAATCGCGAACAAAATGAAACCCAACACCAATTCGCAAGCAGTGCCAAAAAGCAAACCAAAAAAAAAAAAAAACCAAAGCGCAGCCCCGTTGACTCCGGGTCAACTCCAACATCAGACGTATCGATAACGTCGAAACCCAATTCAGAAAAAAACCAAAACAACCCCCCCAAGCTTCCAGATGAACGCAAGAACGGCGCCGGCGAAATTCAAGCGAATCACGCAGACCCATCAAAACAACCACCGAAAGAAAAACGCCAAAAGAAAAACAAAAACAAAAACGCAACCCATCGCCCGAACCCGATTGCGCGCGGCACCATCATCAATGTGTACTCACCCGATCGGAGGAGCACGGCGCCGGTCCCCCGCCAACGCTCGCCGCCGCCGGCGCTCCGGGAATGGGATCGCGGGGGGGCGGCCGACGAGGAAGCACCCGGATCACGCGATGAAGGAGGAGGAGGAGGAGGAGATGAGGACGACGAATCTGAATTTAAAGGAGGCGAGGCGAGGCGAAACGGTGGGGGAGAAGCTGGAAAAGGAAAAAGGAAATCAGGCGCGACCGGATCTTCTCGTTACCGAACGACCGCTGCCGCTGCTGCTGCTGCTGCTGCTGCGGAGGAGGAGGATTTGGTGTTGTTATCTTGTTCCAGATTCGGATTCGCGCACGTGCGGCGCTGGCTGTCCACGTCGGATTTTCTCTTGATTGCCTTCTTCTTATTACCTACCTTCTTTTCTTCTTTTCCTTTTTTTTTTCTTTTTTCTCTTCCTTAAACCGGGTCGGGTCCTAGGAAAATTATTGAAATGATGGATGGCCGCCGGATGTTTTCCACGCGGTTTGGTGCGGTCGGGTCCTAGGAGAATTTCCGGAACGACCCCGTTAAACGGGTTTTTTTTTTTTTTTCCGTCTGGTCGGAGTAGTCTGGATTTATGTATTTCGTCGGGCTTACGGATTCCGGCCTTGTTGATGCGTGCGGAGGGAGCGAGTGATCCGTGCGCATCCGCACCACCAACAAGAAATGGATAATTACACGAATGGTCGTCGAGTTTCGATCTGATGCGAAATGCGATCCTTCGAATTTTGATTTGTTCGATGTGATCCCCGATCTTTGGCCCAATGTGCAGCGTAGTCCCGAAATTTTTAATTTGTTTTATGTGATCCCTGAACTTTGGTAAATGTTCAATCTAATCCCCGAATTATTATATCATCGGATTAAATATAGTCCTTGGATTATCTAGTTGAATATTTACTAAAAGTTCGGGGAATCAAATGAACAAATTAGTTGTTTAGAGACCACAATGCACTTTGGACAAATAAATTAAATGTTCAAATGCCATATTACATATTGGGCTAAATTTCAATGACCATTTGTATCATTTTCCCAATAAGAAATGAAACCTTTTAATAACGTTATTCGTTAGGATGGTCGGTTCGGGGTAGGTTGGTTTCCGGCTTGGAATCGAGAACCAATCTTGTGACTCTCGGGTCTAAAAGATTGGATTCGAGGATCGAATCAGTCAGTTCCTTGTCCAAATCTACCCTAATGGATCAAGAAGAGGAAAAAAAAACTATGCTGGAACAAACCATGGCAAGCACTGCGGCTTTTAAGGCAATAATATCTTAATAGAAATGCTTAGCCTTGAGTTGGCATCTTTATCCAAATGGAACATTCGTTTTCCCTTCATCCGAATGTGCATGTTCTGATTTCTTTCGGCCGTCTGACCGACGAATGCTCCGGAAACTGCAAGCGACATACTTGAGTAGTTACGGCAACAGCGAGCGGCCGGTGCAGAGCCCGAAAGGCGAATGCTTCCAAGTCCGGCCCAGTCTTGTCCGGTCGGACAGCTGCTCCATCTCTGATTGGGAAAAGGGAGAACCGGGCTTGACTATCCACACGCATGGATAGGGAAGATACCAAGCCATCGATCGGTAGAGGTCAAATGCGTTCTTTCTCAGATCGCAAAACGCATTGTAGGGAGCGTCTAAGTAAGATGACTCGTCGGGCACCCGGAACGGGGCTTCTCCGGGTAAAGAACTTCTGGTATGGACAAGGGATGTACATTTTTCCGAGCTTATTCCCCGGAAAAGGGAAGAGGGTGGTGGGGGAAGCAACATCTCGACGGCCCCTGCCACTTCCCAACCCTTGGCCGAAACACGCTCGGTATGGCCATAAAGATTACATAGCTTGCCGTCTTTCCCGTCGAGCCATCGCGATCCCATGTAAAACTAACTCAGAAGTAGCCTGAACAAATGATCTCAAGACTCTCTAGTTCACGAATTATCAATGCAAGCTGTGCCGTGCTATGCTACCAAATAGAGTAAACTTACCTCTCTCATGACCTGCAAATCCCTTCAACTGAAAAGTTTCCAGGACATTCAATCCTCCTAAGAAAATATCAGTCACGAGAGCTTACATTGTATACCACGAAAAATTGTCTTGGATGCGCGTCATGTTGAAGGTACTGAAACTAAGTACATCTTGCGAACTACTTCAGTATTCGGCAGATAACCCGCTCAACGACCTACCTATCCTCTATACAACAAAATACTCGAACTGTGTTTGTGTTGTTCATAAGCTCATCTAATTCAAAAGAAACCTTTCTCCCTTAAGGGCCTAATTTACAGCTAAAATACAAGTCCCCTGCCCCGAAACTTAAGGCCAGGAATCTTCATGAACCTCGGGCAGAGATGGTGATGACGTGTCGCTGATTCTGCTAGGCAGCGGAGTGTTCCTACAAGACGACCGCTTTGTGGGAACGACGACGCTCTCGTTTTCCCACTTCTCACCAACATCGTCATCGTCGTCTACGTCCACACTTTTGAATACTGGGTATAAATATGCAGTTTGAAGGAAGCTCTTCAGGTTCAGGTTCGGTTCCCTCGCACGTTCTAGAGTGTCCTTCATCATCGCCTCCTGAAAACAATGGCCAAACCAAACATCACGAGAATAAACTTTCGACTTTCTTTTGTTTTCACTTTTGCTTTTCCGTAATTATCAGCATCACTGACCTAATAACATTATCTAATTGATCAAAGATCAAAAAAGATACGACCATTCAGTACAACTATACAAATCCAGAAACCTATTTCCAGCCTGTCTCCTTATATAATTTCTCTCTTATCCAGATGGACTGCCCATGTTAGCGATACCAGAAAAAGATCTCATCAGGGCTAACCTAAGATGTTCTGTGCTAATGCCTCCACTGAATGACTAGTCAATATTAAAAGCAGCAATCATCTTCTATTTAGATGCCGGGATCCAGCAAATTGAAAAGATATCAAGCAAGTTAGCACATTGAAGAAACTCAAGCAGAAGGCTTCAATTACTACTATGGATATAAACACTGGAATTTGCAAAGCCTGAAATTACGGACCTGTAATGGATATCTGGCAAAGGCAGGTTCATAACGGCCTTTGCAGAACCTGTGGAAATAGATGGTGAGAACTGGAAGAGCAATGAGAAATGGAGTTGGAATGGCAGCTTGCTTCGTAGCCAACAGTCCAGATAGGAGCAACTGAGATATAAGCAATGCAACAATAACGCGAAGATGCACATCAGGCCAGAATGCTGCGGCACTTTCATACTCTTGATTGTAGACGTTTATTATCTGGAATTTTCAAAAGATGTAAGGATTAACACAATGGATACATAGAAGTAAAAGAAGAAGCATATGAAGAAGAAGGAGAAGAAGAAAGGCTTAACATGATGCTTCAAACATGGGGGACTGAAAAAAACAAGTATGCGTAGCGAAGAAAAACTTAGTCTAGAGTTTATAAGCGCCTGGAAGATATCCCAATGTAAACCCTAAATATAAAGTCAAATCCATCCCTATAGGTGCTGCAGAAATTCTATAACATCATTGATCTTGAAACAAGAATAATCTCAACCTCATGACCTGAACTGTAGAGTCTCACCAACCTATATTATTAAGTAATGAATCTGAATAAAATGCAGACCTTCAAAAATGAGATTGCACAAATCTGGGTGAACAACATAAGGTCCGCATATCTGCAACTTTGTGGGTCACCATTTGATATTTTCCGTCAATCTAACTTACTCTTACAAATTCCTTAGTGATCCTTCATATCATAATTATTCACAATTACGTTCGTATAAGAAAAAAGAGCACGTTGTCTACTTATGGATATATATGGTTGTTGCGTATGCAGAGACGTACTATTTGCACAACTAACGAGAAAATGAAAACATCAATTGGACATTAAGACTATTTAATGTTATGAAAATGTGATCCAAAGAGTTTGCTCGACTTCAACCGAAAAGCCAATAACAGTACGATTTCGGCATGAAAGTGTTTTTACTCGATTCAGCAGGCATGAATTCCAAGACTTCAACTTACGAGAAATGTGATGAAATGAGTTAGCACTTCAACGGACAATAAAACTATGAAGTTGGCATGAAAGTTTTTAAATTAACTCAGCAGGCATGAACTCCTAGATCTTATACAACTCACCGACAATCTCATCCAGTATCATTAATCCCAATATTATTAAGTCCTCTGTAACGCCCACTTCTCTTCCTCTACAGCACCCAAATAACCAGAACCACCACATGAATTATATTATCATAACTGAGATTGATCATGATCAAAAGTCTTCTCGCTGTTCCTACATTTCAGGCAATTGAACAGATAAAACTTCAAAAAAGATATTCCCAATCATTATCGTCATAATACCTGATGACGAAACACGACATAAGCCAGGCCAAAGAAAACGAGTATGAAAGGAAGCAAGGCAGGTGTCACTGGAGCATATACAAGCCCCAGTAAGAAGTAAAACTCAATTTGAGGTTCTCCAGTGTTGAAACCAATGCTTCCAGGATCCATTGCCTCCTCCCTATCCTTTTCAGTTTTCACCAAGAAAAAATTCTTCAAGTGGTAGATAATCAAATGCTTCAGAATTAAAATCTCTGCTGCTGTTCCACCCCAACCACCGACCATAACATAAGTAATGAAGAAAGTTGCTTTCTGGGGGATGGCCACCCCAATTGTTTTGGGAATGCTGCCAAAAGAAGTAACATGTATGAAAACTTCTCCAGGACAGCTAGCAAGTTCATAAAGTTGGAGGGTAAAATCTGCTGCCTAAAGTGCTGCTTAAAAGGTGGGTACTGTCAACCAGAATAATGTCGTGCCAAGGTCCATTAACTTTAGCACACTCATCATCGTGTAATCTTAAGTCAAGGCCCAGCACAGTAGCCAAAACACTATAATGTCACCCACCCCCCCCCCCCCCCCCCCCTTTCTCTCTCTCTCTCTCCCTCTCATGCGCGCAGTGCATGCACAATCAACCAGAAACACAGAGTATAATCATGAGTGCAACTATCTGTTTATACATCATTGTATGTGTGTGTATGTGTATGTGTATGTGTGTGTAAAATATGCGTGGTTGTATGTACGTGCACTTCCGTACATGTGTGCAATGCACTTTTGGCCTCCTATCTATCCATGGACGGAAGGGCGGCAGGCACCGAATTGCAA